TTTTTTTGGTTTTTCTCCGGTACCGGGAACCGAACTCACGACCTTGCGCTTGCCAGGCAGGCGCTTTGCCGCTGAGCTAAATCCCCAGCCCCTGACATCGTATTTTTTTAACAAGCCTGCTTTTCCGTTGGATGGCACTTGGCAGCAGCGTTCGCAGTACTGCTCATACCTTGCAAAGACCCTCACAAAAGAGGACTTCCAGAATTGCTTCAGAAGTGGCAAGAATGATAGGATAATATTTTGCAGGGGATTAATGGCAATGTTTCTTTTACTGTAATAGACTTTTATAAATGTAAATATTCACAGCATATTTTGATTACTGTATATTTTGATGTGTGTAAATTCACACATCTACAGCTGGAAGGTTTTTTGTTTTGTGTTCCTATTGGTACATGTATGCAGTGCAGAGCGATTACACTCATTATGGGGAACTGGTACATGTACATAACACATGATAACTCTCTGTTCCCTTCTCTTTTTCTCCTTTCCCCCCTCTTCCATCTCAGTCCCTTTCCCTTTTGCAAAAGATCTGGCTCCCTGTTTTCTATTATCTATATTTTATTTTTCCCTTGAACTTATTTATACGTCAGATTTCTTATATAAGAGAAACCATACAATATTTTAGCTTGTGCATCTGATTTATTTCACTTAATATTATGGTGTCAAGGTGCATCCATTTTGCTACAAATGACTCAGATTTATCTTCATAGCACAGCAGTGCTCCATTGTGTGTAAATACTGCATTTCCTTTATCCGTTCATTTGTATGGACATACATGCTTTTTCCAAGATTTATCTGTTATGAGTTGTGCTACAGGTATGCATGTATCCTTGTAATACGCTGTCTTTGACTCTTTTAGGAAGATTCCTAGAAGGAAAATAGCTGGGTCCAATGACATTTCTATTTTTAGTTTATTGAGGAATCTCCATACTGATTTCCATAGTGATTGTACTAGTTTACATTCCCACCAACAATGTGGAAGGGCTCCTCCCCCACTCCACCAGCATTTGTTATTATGTGACTTCTTGATAATGATCCTTCTTCCTGGAGCAAGGATGTTGTTTTAATCTGCATTTCTCATATGGCCAGAAAAGTAGAACACTTTTTCCTTAGCCTTTGGTACTTCTTCTGAGAAGTATCTGTTCGCTTCAGTTGACCATAGTTTGATTGGGTCTTTTATTTGGGGGCATCTGATTTTTTTTTTTTAGTCCCTTATATAGTCTAGATATTAGTCCTCTGTTGAAGGTGTAGTGGGCAAAATTTTTCTCCCATTTTATAGATTGTCTCTTAATTCTATTCAGCCAACTTTTTGGTGAGAATACAATGGAGAAAGGACAGGCAGTCCAACAACAATGCTTGGAAAATCATACATCCACATGCAAAAAGAGACGAGGTCCCCTGTCTTACCATATTTAAAAATTAAATCAAAATGGTCTAAATATCTTACACCCAGAACTATGAAACTACCTTTAAAAAATGAGGAAGTGCTGCATGACACTGGACTGAGCAAGAATATTTTTTAGACAAAATTTCCAAAGCACAGGTAACAAAAGGAAAAACAGACAAATGGGAGTGCATTAAGCTAAAAACATTTTGACAGGAAGTTGTCAACAGAGTGAAGTGACAGCCTATGGAATAGGGGAAATATTTGCAAACAGTAACTGATAAGCTGTTAATATCTAGAATACATAAGGAACTCAATAGCAATAACCAACCATCCACTTTAAAGTGAGCACTAGACCTTAAGAGACATTTCTTGAAAGAAGCATACAAATGACTGATAGTACATTAGTTATCAGGAAAACGCCAATCAAAATCACAATGAGAGTACCACCTCCTCCAGCTAGAATGGTTATTGAAAAAGACAAAAGAACTACACCATTAACAATAGTCATTGTTGGGCCAGGGATATAGCTCATCAGTACAAGTACGTGCCTGGCAAGCACAAGGTCCTGAGTTCAATTCTGGGTACCAAAAACAAAACAATAGTTATGGTTTGTAATCAGTTTAAGTTGTCCAACAATGGAAGGATGGATAAAAAATGTGTGGTGTGTGTAAAGTGAAATACGATTCTGCTATAAAAAGGATAAAATCCTGTCATTTATCACAACAGGGATGAACCGGAGGACATCACGCGAAGTGAAATGAACAGGCCCTGAAGGACAAATACTGCGTGACCTCACTGTTATGTGGAATCCACAGAAGCTGATTTCAGAGAGAGAGGAAGAGTGGTGGCCAGAGACGAGGGAGGGACTGCGGAGCCAGCGGGAGGTGATCAAGGGCACGGCGTTAGACGCGAGGAATATGCTCGGATGTTTCTGCTGGACATACTTAACAGTGATGTATCTTTCCAGCTAGCTGGGAGAGAGAACTCTTAAATACTCTCACCACAAAAACGTGATAAATGCGCGGCGTGCTGGAGATGTTACTTGGCCTGATTTGATCATTACCCAATATGGATTTGTACTGGAACATAACGTGGAACCCTGTGAATGCGTAACATTATTTTGACTCAACTTAAAAATAAATAACTGTAATAATATGTCATGTATACTTTAATATTACCATACATGTGATTGTAGTACTTAAATATGGACTATATATGGTAATATAAATTATAGTATTAATGTGCCTTTATAATAAAGTAAAAATGCATATAGCATAAGTGGGATATAATTTAATATATAATATGTCTAATTATAATATACACTATATTATAGAATATATATGTGCTAATATTAATCTATAGGATAACATATATAGTATTAAAGCCTCTTACAGTGTGATGAGTAGTAAGGCACTCTGACAGATGAGTGTATACACAAACCCTCACTATAAAATGTTACTGGTAGGGTTGGCTAGAGAAGGAATATCGATACACTTAAGCAGTACCTGGCACACGGTAAGTACTCTATCAGTTAACTTTCATTATAATTACACAGTATGTGACTATTAAAATACTTAGAAAGTGCTCAGTATAAATGTTGTCATGGTATACTGAGTGAATTTAGGTGGGGTCCTAAGTTGTACAATCATGTTATCCATACTTACATTATTTCTGTTTTCTCATTTTTTAATTTCAAAGTTTTTATCTGATTGTACTAACCAGCACCTTCAGAACAAAAATAATAGTCGTGAAAATAATCAGTTTTCTGTCCCTGACTTCAAAAATATTAAGACTATGGCTGGCTGTTCCATCCATATGCACATAGGCAGACATACTAAGTGATGTTTTAAAAAGCACCACTTTATTTTTATTTTGCCAGAGTTTTAAAAAGGAAGGGACCCAGTACTTTTAAATACCTTTTCAGCACTGTGTTAGTCACTTTCCCATTACTGGGACAAAACGCCCACACCTACAAGTTACAGGAGAGGTTTAGATTGGCTCCCAGTCCATAGTCGGCTGGCTTCAAGACAAGGAAGCATGGCAGAGGGGTATCAAAGAGGAGAAACAGGCTACGATGTGGTGGGAGAAGCAGAGAGAGATCAAGTGAGGAGGAGGGACCTATTCCCTTCCAAGCCACACCCAGAGTCACCCACCTGTTCCCACCAGGCTTCACCTCCCAACAGCACACACAGTTATAAACCCATCAGAGCATTAATGCAGTGATGAGCATCATACACTCATGATCCAGTCATTTCCCCAAAGCCCCACCGATGAGCTCATGAGACTTTGGGGGCACATCTAGATAGGAGCCATAACAAGAACTAATCAAACTGCCAAATGTGCCTCAAGAGGATCACCAGTTCAAGCCCAGCCTGGACAACTTAGTGACTAAGTGAGACCTTGCTTTGAAATAAAATGTGAAACAAGGCCTGGGGACATAGCTCAGTGCAAAGTCCCTGAGTTTAGTTCCTAGAACTGAAAAAGCAAACAAATGAACAAACGAGGAGAGTGTCAAGCGTCAGGAGGAGACAGAAATATTCTAGGAAAAGCCAAGTGAGCAAGAAGAAAAGCCCAGTATGACAGCATTGTCACACATGGTACCAAGTTGTTGAATCAGCTTTGACAAATCTAACACGCAGTAGAGTACAATAGAAAACTTGTTAGATTTGCTTATATCAAGGGCATTAGTAGAAAATGATTCTCAAAACATGGATGGTTTTTAAACTCTTAGGAGGAAGATTTGGTTTCAGAAGATGCACAGAATTGTCTTGGGAAAAGCTGTCACCAGGATCAGAAATACGGAGTGGTGAATTCTGTCTGTCAAACTTCTCACTGCAAGGAAGTGACTAATTAGTCAAACTTTTACTGAAACTATCCAGGTGCAAAACAAAAAATTTTTATAGAGAAGAAATATAAGACTCAGTTTTTTCACATACTTGTGCTTTTGTGGGAACTGATTTCACTAAGATTGGAATAGGAGCTGAGTGATCTCGCATTGATTCAGGTGCACCCCGGGAACTCAGCTTCTCCTACTATTTAATAAAATAAAAGCCTTAAGGCAAATGATAAACTACTATTATAACTTGAATTTATTGCTGAAACTATTAGAAGAATATCCGAACCTCTATAAGAAGGTAATGGAAGTGTTTATTATAATTGTGGATGGAAGCAATCAGAGAATTCAGTATGGGGTAATTTCTCAATTGGCTGTACAATGAGGTATAATTTTATGGGTAAAGGTATAATGCTTTATTACCATATACTGTCACTGTAGATGTAACCTGTATTACCTGCTGGTTTTTACAGTTCCAGTTACTAATTAGGAAAAGGGCTTCTCTCATTTGTAAAATTCAGTCATTTCTGCATTCAATTCTTGATTTTAGAAGTAGGAACTGTATCTTACCTCTTCTAATCACAACGATTCTCTTCTCAGAGGTGAGAAAGTTTCCATTTTTTCTTCTTACAACACTGCACACCAGCAGTCTTGCTGCTCACTCAACTTCTACCATTTTCTGTTTCTTTGGTAGCTTTTTAAGGCCAATCTCTTTGTGACCTGGTACTAAAAACTTCTCCATTTAGAATTAAGGACACAGTTTTAGCACAAAATTAACCAGATGGAAAGTTTCTCAGACTTTGAGAGGCCAAGTTATTTCAATCACAAGAGGCATCAGAAAGCTTTTGTCATTCTGGATTCTACCACCAAAGGCTACTCAGTAACTGAGAAGATAAGACAAAACCAAGGAAGAAATACTGAGTGACCCAGACTCACCGAATGCAGTATGATTCTTAGTGGCCCTTCAGGTGTCTGCCGAACGCTGTGAAATCATAAAACCCTAAAGAACATAGTCGAGTCCAGGTAGCACGTTCTCCAAGGGTCCTGTTTGCTAATGATCCATAAAACTCTAAAGCAAGCACCAGAGAATCGGGTACTAAATGATGAGAAAACAAAAGCGTTCTTAACCTTTGCTCTCGGAGCTGTCTGGTGATCCCAGCCTGTGTATAATTTTCCATTTCTCAAAGTCTCTCTTCCCTGAAATCTGATTAATGGTGACTTTGTACTTTCTTGGGGGCTCCCAACCTTGGGACAGGATCACAATGTTTTTACCTTTTATTTATCTTTTCTTGGAAAAAGGAGAAGAGCTCATTCTTGCCTCTCCTTCAAGGATCCATATTTCTGGCATTAATCTCAGTTATTTTCGAGCTTGAGTTTTGTCTGTGGAGCAGTATGGGCTGTGTGTGAGGAAAATGCAGATACGAGGGAGCCAGCGAAGTCCCAGACTCACCTACACGGTCATCTGGATGGGTTATCAGTTTCAGGAGAAAGTGGTAGGAATACTCTTTGGTTGCCCCGGTGAGTTTATCCCACAATTCTTCATGGAGGGCTGGGTGTCCTGGGTACCACTCTGGGCTCTGCACGTACATCAGAACCTTGTATTCCAATTCTGACACCTACATCTTACCCTCATCTCACTTCCTACCTCTAACCCCACATCTCAGCTCCTTGCGGGAAAACCTATTCCCCCTACTTTGAAAAGGGAAGAATCTGATATGTGAGGTTGGGGATCTCTAAGTAACAACACATAACATTCCTTAATGACAGAAATCACATTTGTATCTCTAAACGTGCTGGAAACACGCTGTGGATACCCAGCACCTCGTCCTAGCAATACCCATGACCCACGTTCCATCTCTCCGCTCTTGGCACCCTTAATCTTGTTCACACATAGCCTCCCCGGAGGGATCTTTCCTACCTCTCCTTCCAAGGTGACAAGTGTTACCATCTCCGCCTGAGCTGGCTTTGGGTAGGTCTTGTGACCCCCTGAATTATCTCAATTATTTATATGGCCGCCATCTTACTGTCTCACATCTCCCTCTAGAATGAGAGGGTTTCTCTGTCCTGTTGCCACCCTGTCACTTAGCACAGTGCTTGCTGGGTGATGAGTGCCCCGTAAATACTCGCTGAATGGATAAAACACTCTGCTTTGACGAAGAGGGAACATTTTTGCTCTTAAATATATGTATATGTAAATTGCACCTAATAGATTTATGCAAAGCAGGCGCTAGAAGTCTGTGGTGATAAAAGACTAACTCAGAAATTTACTCTAGTTGCCCCTGTGATGGTTAATCTTGATTGTCAGCTTAATCGGATTGAGGGATGTCTACAAAATTAGTAAAGCGCACTTCCGGGTGTATCTGTGGGTACTTCCGGAAATGGTACTTCCAGGAGGCCTCTAAGTTCATCAGTGGATTAATTCCGACATGTTAGTTTGGTGGTCTTGGGAGCTGATGGAGGCTTAGGCGTTGGGGCATGGCCTTGGGCACCATAGCTGCTCCCTGGCCAATTCTCTGGCTCTTCCCTGCTGGCTGCCATGAGGCAAGCAGGTTTCCTCTGCCATGCCTTCTGCCTTGAAGCCAGCTAATCACAGGCTGAAATTTCTGAAATATGATGCGAAATAAACATTTTCTCCTGTATGTTGTGTATGCCAGGTAATTTGTCCCAGCAAAGGAAAGCTGACTGACACAGTCCCCCTTTTCTGTGTCTCACCACCTTGCATTTAAATTAAATCCTTGGGTTAGGATTTAACCTTGGGTTAGGATTAAACCTTGGGTTAGGATTAAATCCGTGGGGTCTGGGATATAGCTCAGCAGCACAAGTGCCTGCCTGGTAAGTGCAAGGTCCTGAGTTCGATTCCCAGCACCAAAAGAAAAGAAAAGAAATCCTTTTTTTGGAAATGTGACTTACCTTGCTGGAGAGACCACTCCCTCAGGACAAGAGCAGCTACATTGGTCTTGACCACCGCATTTTGTCCCTGGTTCAAAAGAAGCATTCCACAGTATGTGGTTGGGAAACAGGGTCTCATGCACAATGTGTTATGAGTTTATTTCCAGGCTTATAATTTGAAGTGTTTTTGTGAATCAAGTGTCTTGGGTTAGAATTTAATACTGAGTCTTTGGAGCTGGGCCACCTGGGTTGATTCCCACCACTGCCATTTCCTCGCTGCATGATCTCAAACAAAGAATCGCATTCACTGTTCTGCTCCTTGGTTTTCTCACCTGTACAATAAAGATAATAACAGCACCTTGAGTAACTTGCAGACAGTACTCACGCCAGGACTGGGTAGGTAGTAGGCGCTCTGTAACACAGTATCCCTTACTGTTGTCATTTCAGCTAGCCCATCTCACACGGGCTATTTCTCTGACTACGCTTAGTTCCCTTTCATAATTATTTGCTGTGGTCATCCTTCACATTGGAAGCTTCAAAAAAATAATTACGA